TGTTAGGTTTCAACACAGCAACTAGCATATTGAATACATTTAATAAATGAAATAACATTGCAATATCAATGATTAAAAGCAAAATCATAACACTAACATTACATATAATGCACTGCTACGTGTAGTGATCAACATTAAGCTAAAAACAGCCCCCCCAAAAAATGTCATGTCACTCATAGTAAGTTATGTATTACAAGAGATTGTTATATTGGGTTTAGGGAAAGATTATATATCTTGCCAGTAATAAGATGAGGACAATTACAAATGTATTCTCCAAAAGTCATCCCTTTTCATAAGTAGTTTCAGTGCCAGCCTTTAAATGTTACAAAAATTCTAGTTATCACACACGTCATTTGAATTTTGGAATATTATCAGTGTCTAGTTTAAAAAAAAAAACAAACAAAACAAAACTATGAAAGTAATGCCATAAGACACACAGGAAAAAAATAATTTTATATGTTAAAGAAAAGTCAAATAAAACATACACATTTCTATTTAAGAAGACACTTTTTAACTCACAAAATATGATTTTTTTGCAAAATTTAAGCATAGGGAAATGTTCAGGTTACAAGCTAAATAAATGGATTTATAGGCCCAAGGGATGGCAAAAAAACAAAATATACATACGTAATATGAACTTGCATAATTCATAACAGAAAAAAAAACCTAGAAACTAATTTATGGTTGTATAAGTTCAAAAAGAACAAAAATCAAACCATTAAAGGATCATTATATACAGCTTTGTTGGCCAGTCTTTAAGGCTAAAACCCCCCAAAATTGATATTCCTGTATTGAGTTTGTAATTGGATGAAGCACCATCCGGCTGCTTATACCAATAACTGCACTTGAGTGCACAGCTTCAAGCCCAACCACTGCCACTGGACAAATATAAGCACCAAACTGGTGTTTTAGCCCAAGTAAGCAAATGAATACTGAACTATCAGTGTTGGGTGAATTTATCCTTTAAAGACAAAGTATACAGTCCTTTCCTGTTTGGCCTCTTCCTTACACATCGCTCTATACATAGAATGAGCCACCTGCGCGCACAGTAATACAACAACAAAAACAGAGCTTTGTTTAGACATGTCCCATGGTAGAGGACCTTTCTGGCAGTGTATTATTTACTTGCTAACACTTGAAAACCTTTTCCCTGAATTTTCTAGGTGCTGCAAACTGCAGGTGCTGGTAAACTACTGGGTGGGAAATAAGAAGAACAAGCAGAATAATTGCTGTACAACAGGGAATCCACAGTGTGAGAAGCAAGATCTGTACACATTTGCCTACAATTTATTTGTGGATAATTTTTTTAACCAAATATTGAAACTATAGAAACAAGTAAAAAGTGAAAGGCTTGGCAAGACTTCTGGATGTGTCTATATTGCACTCCATGGTAACTGCAAATTTATGAATGAAAATGGCACAAACATTTTGACCGCTCGACTGCTGGGGGAATATAAATATTTTAACGGGGTTTCCCACTTGTAAAGTGAGCTTCCATTTGTTATCCCTCTGAAGTAATACACAAGGATCCCAGCACAAGCAAAATAACCCTCATATGCAACAGCAGAACACTATCTATTTAGATGGGGCTGAAGCATTCATTTCACCTTCAAGGTGCTCAGCGTGAAGTTTGAACCTAAGTAGCGCAACGTATGTCACATATGTGACCATGTGAACAACTGGTAACCTAGTATGGCAACATTATACCGGCCATAAAAACACAATTACTACACAAAGCTTTCTTTGGTATAAACATCCTGGAACTAACTTGCATGGATTCTCACAAGGAATGTCATTAATCTCAGGGTCTGGTTCTAGTGGGGGATTTATCGCTCATATGAATGAGATGGAGTACTACTTGAGTGATTTGAAATGCTTATCTACAACACTTAAACAGTTTGTGTGCCTGTGTAAGAAAGGATAGAAGCAGCGACTGGTAAACTTGCACTAAAGCATCATAACTTTTACTACTAGAGGGAAAAGATGGGGAATGACAGCTAGGATCATACAACTTCCTAGCTTCACTTTACTCTTGCTCCAAGGTTTTAAGAATTGCTTCTATTGAAAGGGGCTTGCCAGCCCTATAATAAGGCAAGCTTACTGTAAACTAATCACTAAGTTGGCATTTAAGGCACTACATTAAGTTGACATACATGAAACAAGTATTCACCATACATACCTGTGCAAAACAACTCAGTTATCATTTACTCACCACTACGCGAGTACATTTCAGACAAATTGTATATATATACATATTCATCAGTGCTACAGTGATAAAACTCTAACTGTTCACATACATTCCCACAATTTATTTTGGTTAAAAAAAAAAAAAAAATCAGGAGGAAAATTATATATATAT